AAACTCTTGAGCTAATTCGCCAGCGTGGTTTGGCGCATGCCTCAGGCAACCGCAAGCTAACATCCGAGCTCGCAAAGCAGTGCAGAGATGCGATCAAGGAAGACCTCAAAGAGAGAAGAGCAGAAGTACTGGTAGATGCGGCAGAAGCCGGGAAAAGTATTCGTAATGCCCGCCTGTCCTTCGCCAACTATAAGACCAAGATGACTGCCCTCCGACGTCCTGATGGATCCATCACATCCTCCAGAACGGCAATGGAGAAGATTATCCATGACTTCTACTCAAATCTCTTCGATAGCCATGTCCACTTGCCGACATACCAAATTCCACAGGATGGATATGTCGTTCCCAACGTTCTCCCTTCCAAAATCCGACACGCCATTTCGTTGGTAAAGAAACAAACAGCACCCGACCCAGACAAGGTCAGACCTGAACACCTGAAGAACCTGCCGTCAGTACTCATCAATACACTGGCTCGGCTCTTCACTCGCTACCTGTCTGAATGCAAGGTTCCGTCCCAATGGAAAACCAGCAGGACCGTACTACTGTTCAAGAAGAGAGACATTCATGACATTGGCAACTATCGCCCGATCTGCCTATTGTCTGTCATCTACAAGTTGTTCACTCGAGTCATCCTAAATAGGATTGGCAGAACACTAGATGAAGGACAACCATGCGAGCAAGCAGGGTTCCGCAAAGGATTCAGCACCATCGACCATATCCACACGATAACCAAGCTCATTGAGGTTTCTCGGGAGTTCAAGATGCCGCTCTGTTTAAAGTTCATCGATTTAAAGAAGGCCTTTGATTCTGTTGAGACGGAAGCGGTCATTGAAGCCCTAGCCAATCAGGGCATTCAAGCCCTATACATCAGGATCCTCCGTGAGCTGTATTGCGGATTCACTACCAGGATCTCACCATTCTACAAAGAAGTGATCGTTGATGTCAAGAGAGGGGTGCGGCAGGATGATACCATTTCACCGAAACTCTTCAGTGCCACCCTCGAGAACATCATGCGACGACTAGAATAGGAAGGAATGGGAGTGAAGATAGATGGTCGGCAACTACACCACCTCCGCTTTGCTGATGACATTGTTTTAATAACACCAAACATCAGCCAAGCGGCACAAATGCTGGCCGACTTTGACCGTGAGTGTGGAAAGGTAGGACTACAGCTGAATCTTACGAAGACAATGTTTATGAGAAACAGCCTCGTTCCTGACGCCCCATTCGCTCTCAACGGAACGACCATCTCCAAATGCAACAGCTATGTGTACCTAGGTCGAGAGGTCAACATGACAAATGACCTGGCACCCGAGCTGCGCAGGAGGAAGAGAGCGGCTTGGAACGCCTTCAAGAACGTCGAAGAAATAGCTAAGAGGACGAAGAACCTCCGGCTCCGGGCACATCTCTTTGATTCCACTGTTCTTCCTGCATTAACATATGCCTCAGAGACCTGGGCCCTACGCAAACAAGATGAAAACGCTATTCAGGTCTCCCAAAGAAGAATAGAAAGAGCTTTGCTTGGAATACCACGTTTCACTCAAATGAGAGAAAAAATCCGGAGTTCCGACATCCGTCGACGATCAAGAATCAGGGACGCTGTCTCATTTGCCAAGGTGTCAAAAATCAGGTGGGCTGGTCATGTAATGAGATTTAAAGACAACTGCTGGACTAGAGCTGTTATCGACTGGATTCCATGGGATGTCAAAAGACTGTGTGGCCGCCCACCTACCAGATGGTCAGACTTCTTCGTCAAGATCATGAACGATCGGTTTGAGGCCCTTCAGGTTCCCGGAGCGAACAGATGCCATTGGGCTACACTGGCACGCGACAGGGACAGATGGAGACGTTACTGGCGCCCGCTCGAGCAAATCAACGACTAACGGGAAGTTAAGTGATTAAGTGAAGGACAAGCAAGCATTGGGGCCAAAGCAATAGTATAGTGCGTAGGGCATTTGCCTTACATGTGGTTGACCCAGGCTTGATTGATCCCCAGAACCCTATATGGTCCCCAAGCACAACCAGGAGTGATCCTTGAGTACAGAGTCAGGAGTAAGCCCTGAGCACTGACAGGTGTGGCCCAAAAGAAAGACAGACAAGCATAGACTCATGGTGAGAGGTTGAAGGAATTTCAAGCCATTATTCTCCCATCTGATAAAATACTGTCAGCCATAAAAGGTTGAGAAGACAAAGGCAGACACTGTAGAATGATCAGGGAGCAAGGCAACAGGAAGGGCTGGCCATGGTGCGGGAGACCCTGAGCACTACTGGGCTGGCCCTAGGAAACAGCCAAAAGTGTTTACAAAACAAAACAGCCCACAGCATTGTCTCCCCAGGCCCTGTCATGGAACTGCCAGTAAAACTGGCTGAGAATCTCTGGGAGGGCCCCCATACCCCTTGCAAGATAAATCTAAAAATACCGTAAAAGAATCACTCACTTGACCAAGTGGGATTCATCCCAGGGATGAAGCAAGAAGGATCCAATATATGCAAATAAATTAATGTAATACACCACAAAAGGAATTATAATAATTACATAATTCTGAAAATAAATGTCAAAAGGTATTTGACAAGAGGGTAGAAGAAATAGTATAGTGGTTTGGGTACTTTCCCTGCATGCAGCTGACCAGGGTTCAAACTCCAGCATCACATATGGTATCCTGAGCACCTTTCTAAGCACTTCTCCCTGAGCACAGAGACAGGAGTAAGTCCTAAGCACAGCCAGTTGTGGCCCAAACACACACACACATACACACACACACACACACAAGCACACAGAGTATTCAGTAAGTAGTAGCTAGAAACTGGGGAATAAATTTTGTAAAATGAATCCAAATTAGGTAGTAAAACCAAATTGAAAAAAATGAAGCTATTACTATTTAGAGATATATGGTAATTTATATAAAAATTAACACCAACCAACTACTAGAAATACCAAAGTTAATATAATAAAGGCAGATTATAAATACTTATATAGAACTATGTTGCATTATTTAACACTATGTAAAAACTGCTACAGCACAACATGGATTTAAGATTTAGCTGTCAGACTTAAAACTAAAACACAGGCAATACTCTCTGGACACTGAATGCAGTCTTTGAGGACTTAACTGGAAATTAAAAAACTAAAATAAATACAACAAACCAAAATATTTTTCTCCAGTGAATGAAACCATTACACAATCAAAAAGGAATACTAGCAACTGAGGGAAGAGATCTACACGTTATATACCACAAAAAGGTTACTATTCAACATATATAAAAAACTTATACATATTATAAAAAACAGACAATTTTTTAAATTAGCATAATATTATGGGCAGGAGTGACAGCATGGTGGGTAGGGCATTTGTCTTCCAGGTGGCAGACCTGGATTTGATCCCAGTGTCCCCTATGGTCCCCTGAGTCAGCCAGGAGTGATCCCTAAGTGCAGAGCCAGGAACAAGCCATGGCCCCAACCAATCAAATAAATGAACAAATAAAAAGAAAATGAACATGCTATCTAGGCAGACTCTTCTCCAAAGAAGGCATACACATGTCTGAGAGGCAAGGACAGTATTTTCAACTCCACTTATTCTTAGAGACACTTATCAAAACAACAAAGAGACAACGCCTCAGACCATGAAATTCTCTATATCAAAATGACTGAAAACACACTGGCGAGGAAGCAGAAAAAATGCACTTTTGGTTTAGTGTTCATGCGAATGTAAATTGGTGCAGCCTCTAAATATAAACAGATATTACTAAAAAACTAAAAATAGAAATGACTCAGCAATATCACTCCTAAGGTAATCCCAAGGAATAAGTAAACACTAATTTGTAAAGATATGTGCACTTCTATATTCAGAGAGGCATTATTCACAATAAAATAACATCAAAAAGATCAAAACAACCTAAGTGGCCATCCATGAATAACTGAATAAAGAAGTTGTAGTTTATATATTCAACGGACTACTATCAGCAATGAAAATCGATGAAATCATGTCTTTTGCAGTAACATGAATGTAACCAGAGATGATTTGCTAAGCAAAATAAGACAGAAAGTAAAAGACCTGATGGTTTCCCCTCACATGTGAAACAGAAATAACCAAGACAAACAAACTTCACAAATCCCAACAAAAATACTCCTGGATTACCAGACGGGAGAAGATGGTGGGGGTGGTGGAGAAGAGGGGAGGTGCGGAATGATGGATGAGATCAATCTGATGACCACAATTTCATTATACCCCAGAGAAGTACACTGTATTACAATATAATGGTAAATCAACAACATTTTAATTTTAAGAATTAAATGGATGCCACTAAGGAGTAGAAATTAAGGTTAGAAGAATGTGGGGTAGGGTAGGGGAAAGTAGCAACCTATTTTCCCCCTAAGTCACTAATTAGAGTTTTGGACTAAGTTCTTTTTCCGTCTACTGGTTAGCAATTAATTTGGTCTCTCTCCACTACTAGATACTAGTACAATTAGGGATGGTTCGCCAAAAATTCTTCCAGCTAAAAATTCTTATCCAACCACTGCCAAATGACACTGTAGGGAAAAACTATTGCTGGTTGAAAATCACTGCCTTATAATATTACTTTTTTAACTTGAAATAATACTGAAAATATATTTCATATTTTTAAATAAATTATCATAATTTAAATAAAATTAAATTATAAAAACATTAAATCATTTGAAGAGAGCTTGACTGGATATCACCAAGGTCATTTCTCCTTCCAAATATCTCTACTGCTCTCTGTCCTTTTTTTTTTCTGCTTTTTGGGTCACACTTGGAGATGCACAGGGGTTACTCCTGGCTCTGCACTCAGGAATTACTCCTGGCGGTGCTCAGTGGACCATATGGGATGCTGGGAATCGAACCCGGGTCAGCCGTGTGCAAGGCAAACGCCCTACCCACTGTGCTATTTCTCCAGCCCCTCTCTCTGTCCTTTTTGACCCCTCCCCAAGCCCATTCCACTCCATCTGCCCAGACTAGCTCAGACAGAAGGATGATACTTACCACCCAGAAATGCACACTCATAATGGCTGCAGGTCTTGTTGGTGCTATGAAGAATAAGGTTATTGCCAGTTCCATCCTGTGACACATGAAAAACCTCATTCGGAGATATTAAGAAATTTTTTTCACCTTCTCCAAGAAATTTTTTAACATCGATGCCAAAGCACGTGTAGATGGTTAACAAAGTGTCTTGGTCATTAGTGACTTCTGGTTTGGTTGACTGCACCATGGTGACGTGGTTAAATCTGGCTTGGTCTAGTCCTCCAAATGTAAAGGAAATCTGGCTTGTGTTATACACCACATTTTTGTAACTTTCCTTACAAGGTCTTCTCAGCAACTGCAGGGCTTTTGTCAAATAAAAATGAAAAGCTTTGAACTGGAAGTCATAGATATAATCTTTTCGAGATTTTCCAGCCATCTTCATAGCTTCATTAAACTGATAATAAAAGTCACTCTGCTTTTGAGCTTCAGAAATATAAGCCATCAGGGCGATTCCGTGGTTATCCTTGAAAGTCACAGGAAAAAACCTCTGTGTCTTGCGGACTTCCCATTTGGTCTTGGCATTTTCCCACACATCCTTCAAGAGCTGCTGGTTGTTTTTTTCCTCCTCCAGCAGCTGGGGAATAAATTTGTTTTCCATCCTGTCAGCACATTTCAGGTATTGATCATCAAAAACATTCTCAGCCATGTCTAGTACTTCAGATTTTACCTTCAAAGAAAAAAGGAAAGATTTCAACACAGAAAATAAGAGACCGGAAGCAAAAAAAAAAAAAAAACTTAAAAAAAAAAACAACTTTAATTAAAAAATCCCAACAACCTAACTTGAAAGGGAGTTTGTCAAGGTGACAGATTGGGGTTGGAGAGTGGGAACCTAGGAACTCTGGTGAAGGGAAGGAGACACTGGTGGTGGGATTGATGCTGGAACATGGTATGTCAAAACCCAACTATGAATAACTAAATCATGAGGCTTTAATAACTTTTAAATGTTTATAAAATAAAACATTCCAAAGAGAAAATTTTCAGTGCCTATTATTTCTCTCATATTATTTTCCCCTATCCTCTTATGCCCTGCCAAGAATCTCTTGCTTATAGTCAACTCTGGGTATGTTTTTTGTCTGTTTTTGGTTTTTTGCCCACACCTGGCTGTACTCAGGGCTTACTTCCGGTAAGTACATAGTACCCTATGTACTATGTAAGTACTATGTAAGTACTATGTACTATGTAAGTACCCTATGTACTATGTAAGTACTATCTAAGTACCCTCTTCTCCTTTTAGGATATCCCCTCCTTTGTGCAGGCACCTTCAGAACAAGCAATGATACAGGTCTAAAACTCAGAACACTCCAAGAAATAGTCTGTTTCTTTCTCTAGAACGACAAGCTCAAGAATACTATTAACTTGTGATTGCTAATAATTATCCTTTCAAGTTCCACAGAGAATCCTGAATGAAAATAAAGTCAGCAAAGAGAGGCATGCAAGGTTGAGAGGTGGAGATAGAAGTTAGACTCGCCTAACATTAATTTAAGTTCCTGGGTCTAGCTGAACCTGAAGACCGTGTTTTAATCATTAGAATCAATAAATTTTATTTACTTGATCTACTGAGTTATGTTTATGCCATATATAACTTAAAAGACCTAAAGGATTTCTAAATGATAACACTTAAATTATAGTATAAAATAACCCTAACTTGAAGCTACACATATCTAATTGAATTCAAATTTAATATCTAGTAAAGGTAAAGGTAAAGGCCCTCCCATTGATCGTCGATTTGCTCGAGCGGGCCCAGTAACGTCTCCATTGGAGACTTTGTTGTTACTGTGTCTGGCATATCGAATACTCTCGGTAGCTTGCCGGGCTCTCCGAGAGGGGCGGAGGAATCGAACTTGGGTCGGCCATGTTGGCCGCTTGTAAGGCGAACACCCTACCGCTGTGCTATCGCTCCAGCCCAATATCTAGTAACAGATATGAAATAGATAGACAGACAGACAGACAGACAGTAATTGATTTCCCCTATGTGGCAACCATTTATGGTACACTTTATTTTCAGCCTCATTTCAAGGAAGCTAAGAGAGAGTATTTATTCGGTACTGGGACTTGAAATCAGGCAATTGGTCTCCCACATTTGTTTTCTTAAAATGTTCTGTTGCAATGATGAAGATAACTCTACATAAGTAGCTCTTTTAAAACAGTTAAATTCGGGGCCAGAGCAGTAGTACAGTGGGTAGGGCATTTGTCTTACAACCCATTCGCCTTACATGTGGCCAACACAGGTTCGATCCCATATGGTCCCCCACAGAGCCAGGAGTAACCCCTGAGCATTTCTGGGTGTGACCCAAGAAGCAAAAAATATATAAATCAACAGTTAAATTCTGGGCTGGAGAAAGAGTATGCAGATAGAGTGCTTGTTGTACACAGCCAACCTAGGTTCCTTCCCTGGCATCCCTATGGTCCCCCAGTACCATCAGAAGTTACCCCTGAGCACTGCCAGATATGGCCCCCAAACAAGCAAAAACAGTTAAATTCTGTCTTTATAATAATCCCTATGAAAGTCTGGGAAAATGCTCATAAGTTTTGCAAATGAAGGAATTATGTTAGTGTCAGAACCTTGCTTTGCTAACCAGTCGCACATTATTCTGCCCAGGAACTCGCTGAGACACTCATGCTCCAGGTTTGTAGGTTGGATTCTTAAAGCAGACATTCTTAAAGCAGCATTAGGAGACTGGATCACTTCCATTTCCTCACATTTCCTCCATACTTCCGTCTGCAGCACAGAATGTACCAGAGTGCATCCTGGGCACTGATGCCTGATTTAACTTCAAGACTTCACAGAGTATAAACCTGATTCCCTAGAACTACCTCCCACATTCCTCACACCATCTAAGATGGATCCAATTTGTCCTTTTCTTCCCCCCTTTCCCTCTAACCAGTCTTCAACATGTCTAATTTTAGATATAAAGTCTTTCTGGTTCCAGGCCACAGATGATTGTGTGTCTGGTACAATGAGTGCTCTGAGCAGTGACAAATCTCATAAATGCCACCACCATTCAGAAATAACTAAATGGATATTGGGAGACAGCTACAAAAAGGAATGAAGATGCTGATAAGTATTTCTCCTCTGATTTATCAACTAAAACAAAAACCTATACTGATAAAATCCAGCTACCAATCAGTTATTATCAAAAAAACGTAGAAATGTTCTAAAGATTACAAAAATAAACAGTTTAAATAAACTCTGGCTTGTTCATAGAACAAACACATTAAAACTATGTTGCCAAACACTATTAAACACACTAGTCAAAAACTACAATGAGCCACTACTGGAACATGATAAAGGAGGAAAAGGGACATAGAATGTGTTAGAAAGAGCATAGAGAAATTGAACTCTATATATCACCAGTGGGATTATAAAACATGGAAAACACCTTAGCACTTCCCCAAAGTATCAAACATAATAGTTACCCTAAGACCCAGCAATACTACTCCTAGAGAGTAGGTATCTAAAAGGACAGAAAAATATGTTCACATAAAAACTTATACCACTTCTCATTCATCAGAGCCAAAAAAGTGGAAACCACCAGGTATCCATCAACTAAGGAGCAGATAAACAAAATATGGTAGAACCACACAAAATATTGTTCATTTTATTAAAGAGACTTAAGGACTAGAGAGATAGTACAGTGAATAAGATAGTTGCCTTGCATGCAACTGACCCCAGTTTGATTCCTGGCACCAACTATTGGTCTCTGAGTACCACCAGGAATGATCCCTGAGCGAAGAGCCAGGAGTAAGCCCTAAAACACAGCTGGGTGTGACCCAAAATAATAATAATAATAGTAATAATAATAGATAATTAGGTACTAACATACACTATAACATGTAAAGAAGTATAAAAAGTCAAACAAAAATCTAGATATCATATGATTATATATTCAGATGAAATATTCAGAACAGACTAATCCACAGAGAGAGAAAGTAGATTAGTGGTAGCCCGGAGATGCAAAGAAGTGAAAGCTGGGACTCACTGATAATAGGTATAATGATTCTTTTTGGGGTGATGAGGGTGTTTTGTAATTAAGACAGTGGTGATAGTTGCATCACTAGCAGCATTGTAGCATGGTCCTCCCGTTGTTCGTTGATTAGCTCAAGCGGGCACAAGTAACGTCTCCATCGTGAGACTTGTTGTTACTGTTTTTGACATATAGAATATGCCATAGGGAGCTTGCCAGGCTCTGCCGTGTGGGCAGGATACTCTTGATAGCTTGCCGGGCTCTCCGAGAGCGGTGCAAGAATCGAACCTGGGTCGGCCGTGTATAAGGCAAACACCCTACTCGCTGTGCTATCGCTCCAGCCCATCATATAGTAAATCCATGAAAAACCAATGAACTATGTCCTCAAAATGTGAATTTCATATTAAAAATAAATCATTGTCTGCCATGGAGGCAGGGGGAGGGTGGGAAAGGGGGGGGTATACCGGGGAGACTGGTGGTGGGGAATGTGCACTGGTGGAGGGATGGGTGTTTGATCATTGTGTGATTGTAACACAAACATGAAAGCTTGTAACTTTCTCATGGTGATTCAATAAAAAAAAAATCATACCACAAAGACAGCACGGGGTCACAGTAACAAGCTTTGCCTACATAGGACCTTTCAATCCCCAGCACTGCGAGGTGCCCAGAGCACCTCTGGATGGAGCTCAGTGGGTACTAGCCCCATGAGGTGGCTGTGGTGCTCTGCAGTACTGCAGGGCAAGGGCAGCACCACAGCTTTAGGCCTGAGCACTGAACCATGGGTTTGGTTGGCCGAGTGGTTCCTAGGCCCTGAGCACTGCTGTGGGGCCACCTTCCACCTGTCTGTCAAAGAGAAAAATCACAATAATACAGGCAAGAGAACTGGAATGTGAAAATGCCCACAATTTTCAGAATTGAATGTATCTTAAGGAATGAATTTCAAATTCGTGGACAGTTACTCAGTACTACGTGATAGCTAACAAAGTGAGAGAGAAACAAGAATGCAGATATTCGGGCTCAGTGTTTACATTATTGAATATTAAATGTTATAAAATATTAAACTGTGATCAATGAAATTATAGAAGTTCTATCAGAATAAAAATATTTAACATGCAGAAATGATCACTATGCTGTTTAATGTTTTAAAAAGCTCATTATTGTTTATTATTAGGAAAATTCAAATCAAGATGATAATGAGATACATCTCAGCCCAGTGACAATGACACGTATCAAAAATACTGGGAACAATCTGTGTTAGCGAGGATGTGGTGCAAAGGAACTCTCATCCACTTTTAGTGGAAATGTTGTCAGGTCCAACTCCTGTGGAAAACAGTATGGAGATTTCTCAGTCAACTAAGAATTGAGCTGCCATTGGACTCAGCAATTCCACTTCTGGGTATCTATCCCCAGGGCAAGAAAACATTCATTCAAAAGGACATATGCACACTGTTATTCACTGCAGCACAAAGTACAACAGCTAAGATATGGGATCAATCTAGGTGTTCAACAAATAGATCAGTGGATCATAAAGATGTGGTGATATATATATATTATATATATGTATGTGTGTGTGTGTGTAAATAAAATACTACACAACTGTAAGGAATGATGAAATCATGCAATTCACTGCAACTTGGATGGAACTAGAAGATACGTTAAGCCAGAAGGAAGAATAAAAATGACCTTGCTTATCTGTGGTATATAGAATTACTGGACAAGAGAACTCAATGTAGTTAAGAGGAGATGCCTAACTCAACCTTGACCCTAGAGTAAAGAGGGGAGAAGAATAGAGAAGGAAAGAAGTTGAAGGAAAGGAAGAGATATATGGAAAATAAAGGCAGACAGGGATCGAGGACCTTAGGTACACTGGTGCTACAGAGGAGTGGTATTGCTATAATTTCAAACCAGAGTCAAACAACAAAAGCAGGAGATCCAAAACACAATAACCAAACTTTAAAATGCGCCTGAGCGATATTACAGAGTGCCTGCCTTGCAGGTGGCTGATGTGGGTTCAATCCCTAGCACTCCATATGGTCCCCTGAGCCCTGCTAGAAGTGATCCCTGAGCAATGAGCCAGGAATAAACCCTGGTCATCGCCAAGTGTGGCCCCAAAACAAAAAACAACAAAAATGTGTCTGTCAAAAAGACAAGTTTGCAGGGGGCGGCAGGGGGGTAGTGAGAGGGAACCTGGGGTCACTGCTGGAGGGAAGTTGATTGGTTGTGTGACTGATGCTGGAATATAGTGTGCCTAAAACTAAACCATGAATAACTTTGTAAATCACAGCGTCTTAATTTTTTTTTTAAGTAATGGTGCCTGCCAGGGTGAATTGTGACCTATCAGGTATTTGCTGAATGAAAACCAAAACCTAAGTCGGGTCAGATGACCAGAGAAACTGCCATGGGCCGGAAGTCAATTCAGAGCAATGATTCATTCACCACCGCACAGCACAACACACTTTTGCACAGTGAAGAGCTGTGCAGTACAGAAAAATGAAGACCAGTGGTCAGTGCTCTAACAGACCAGCGGTCAGTGCTCTAACTCTGGGGCCAACCTTCCCTCTTTTGATGGCTGAAGATGGAATCCTGTTAGGTTCTATTACCATGGTATGGGACACTGCTTTTGAATAAAGAATAAAAGAAGAGTTCTCCCCCCCTCTCTGGCCCCGCCCATCTCCCCTCACACAGAGACACTTAAATTCCCATTCAGGAAAGAAGCTCTTGAAGAGCATCACTAAGACAAGGTGTCCTTCCATTACAACACCTATTTGTTTTGTAAAAATACAAAACACTATTTTAAAAATCATTGCACTTATTGGGAAAAAAATTCAAGATTTGGTGAGAATTCAAATTTTTAACTTAAAAGGTAATCTCTCAACATGGTTCCCCAAATGAAATGGCAGCAAATATTTGTTTACCACTTAAGTCAAATATCTTGGATACTCAAATCTCAAGAAAAAAATATATCAAAGATTTATATTCACTTGAAAATGACTTGACCTATATCCAAGAAGTCTAGGTAACAAACTGTTAAACTGACAGCTTTCATTGACTTATAAATTCTTACTGACAAGTCATGAATCAGATCTGGCTTCTGGGTCCATATTTGCAATGAACTCTCTTTAAGCCTCACTTTCCATGTCTATTGAATGGAGCTTTAGAGTGGGTAATGTTCTCATAACTTAATTTGAACTTATCACTCAGAGAACTGCCTAATGAGCCACACTGCAGCTAAAGCCAAATGAAAATTTAAAAAAATTTTTTAAAACACTACTAGTATCATTTTACTTGATAAAACACATATTTTCAGAATATTTAATGACAAGAAACACCTGTGGTATAGTGTTCACTTAAAAAAGCAAGGGAGTTATATGGACAGAATTTCCATTTTTGTAAATTAGATACACATGCACAAAAACAGCTAAGAGTGAACTATAGCAATTAAGTCATTCTGAAGGAAGGGATTGTAAATATGCTTTACTTTCCTATTTTTTCCTTAATTTTAATTTTTCAATTTCTACAATTAACATGTATCAAATGAAAAAAAGTTACTTGGGAAAACCTCATTTACCTAGTAACGCTCAGCTCTTGTTTCCAACATCAACCCACATAGATGCAGTATTCTACAAAAGTTCTCATTCCAAAGACCACATACTTCCCATTCTCAACATTACCTGGAAAATGTCCACTAGAATCAGAGCTGCCAGCAGCATGATGGTCATTTCAAAATGTCCTGTTTTCATTTTTCTCGTCTAAATTAAAAAGAAATTCCAGTTGATTATATTTTTTAAAAGATTTTTATAAAAGCATGATATTATTTTTCCTTTGTCAGAAATAAAATCTGTCCAGTACTTTTTTCCCCCAGACATTCTGTCTCTCCTATCCCATGCCCACCGGTAGTTATACTTCACCCTCTTAATCACCCCTCAGCATACGTTGAGAAAATAACAAACTAAAATACAACAATGTCAAGTTGGTCTTCAAGCTCCCAGGTTCCAAAAGCTGTTCAGGATCACTGTCCAAGCACATTGTCCATTCTCCTATCCCCTTTGTCAACTGAGTCATGCCCATTTGGGTAAGATGGAGGAGAAGATAAGGTCAGCAGTGGTTACAAACCAAAAGTTTAACCAAAGTTTTTTTTAAATAATCACATTCAAGAGAAGCCCAACAGTAAAACAAGTGTCTTGCATAACTTTGTGAAGGCGACAAGAGAATAAGAAGGAACTTGGTCAGCAGCAATCTCATTAGATTATACAACTCTACTGGCTACATGCCCATTATTCATCCCAATGTTACAAGAATGAAAGGGGTAAACAAGAGGGTCAGAGAGCCATAAGGGCTGAAGTCATCCCAGAGCCATTAATTAATTAAATTAAATATTGGTCTATAGTTCTTTCCACTTGATCATATAAACAAAACGAAACACAAAAACAAAGTTGACATTACTGAACTTTAGTCATTCAGACCATATTCTGGCATCTGAAAATGGAGATGAACAGCTTAAGAGAAAAGAGAGTCTTTAGTTTCATACCAGATTCCGATCTTGATTCAGAAGTAGTTTCTTCCACTGAAGATAAAGTAAAGCACACAAATGCCACTTTGATGTAAAACTTCCCTTTCCGAAAAGTTAAACACTTGACAAAACTGTCACATGCAGTAGATGCCAAGCAAGCTAGAAAATAGGTTTTTCGGTTTATTTTTTTACGTTCAAGTCCTCACTCTCATAGTCTAAGGTAGTATAAATGTTTACCTGTGTTCTTTTCCCTGTGAAGGAGGTTTAAAGATGCTGGGTCTCAAAGTGACTGCCCGCTCTCAGCAGTGGTAAGCCTGTTTTCAGGATGGGAGCTTGTTGACAGTGAGAGCTGAGAAGGGAATGCTTTTCTTTTTATAAACACCCCCAGCCGTAGCTTGGCAGTGGCACATTACCCCATTTGTGTTCTGCTATTTATATCTGGCCCCCACACTACCCCTTGGAATCACTGTTGTTAACACATTAAATCTCCAAGAGGCTTGTAAAGCCATACATATTCCCTCTCACCACACAGCATGGATCGCTCTGGGGCCTTGGTTCTGGGCCTCTCAGGGAGTAATCACTTCCCATTTCTCACTCTGAGATGTCAGACTAAAGCATGGACTTTACTCTTGCTGGATAGTTCACATAACTGAAGAACCTGTATTAACTGCTGGCAACAGGGATGGCTATCACCTTTCATTCAGCCAGAGTGCTGCATTTCAGGAACTATGCCAAGTGCTGGGATACACAAGCAAATATAAAAAGTACTGAAAAGGCACCGCCTAGTAAAAGATAAGAATATGCACGCTTAACCATGTGACATGTTAAATATATGTCAAATATATAGAGATGAGTGAAAACAAGAGGAAAGAATTTGGTAATACTTGCAACCATAGTTCTCCTTTGATTAAGATACAATATAGCTATATAAAGTGAATTTAGATAAATTATATATTTCAATTATGTATTTTATAAATTAAACATAGCGTATATCTATGTAAACTAACTGAAATGCTATAGAACATTTCAGGTTCACTGACTATGAATGAAAAACATGAAGTGTCTGGAAAGTAGGCTATGTAAGTCAAAATACAGAACTAGAATATATTAGTAGCAATAGCCCTAACAGCACAAACCAAAAAACATCCAAATATCCAACAACAGAGGAAAAGATAACCTGTGCTATGTTTACAGAAGATTTTGCATAACACTGAAAATGAACAAACATTAACTATATAGATTTATCTCACAAATTTTGAGCAAAAGAAACAAACATGAATATACTGCTCAATTTAATTAATGTCGAGTATATATAAGGTGAACTGCCCTAAGTCTAAACCCAAGTCTAAACCTATGTGTTAGATATCCAACTAGTGTTAATCTAAGTGGTAGGTAGAAACTTAGATGAGATACAAAAGGGAGTATCTGAGATGCCGAAGTTCTGGTATTTACTCTAGGTGCCAACTACACTGATATATTCGATTGTGAAAGCTCACCAAACTCTACACTTACGTGTATTTTTCTGTGTGTATGTGTATACAAACATATTACTCAGTATAAATTATTATGAATTATCACCACTCTTACTAACCCATCTCTACTCTTCACGATCACGATCACAATCATCCTGTTGTTCATCAATTGCCTCGAGCAGGCACCAGTAACATCTCCTTCGTCCTAGCCCTAAGATTTTTAAAAAGTGCCATATTCAAGGCTCTTTCAGGGTTAGGAGAATGAGACCCATCATTGTTACTGGTATTTGGCATATTGGGTACGCCACGGGGAGTTTCCCAGATTCTGCCATGTGGGCAGGTTACATTCGGTAGTCTGCCAGGTTGTCCAAAGCAAGATGGAGATAATAAGATGTCGCACGGCCGCAAATGCGGCCCCGCACTTCCGGGAGCTGGGTTTTATAGTCTCTGGGTCTTGGCCGCTAATGGGATTACATGGCACCAGGGGGCCAGTTGGTGGGTGTGACCCCTGCCTACTGGAAGATGGAGGATCTGGGTGGAGGATGCTCAGCCCCGATCCAAGCAGGCTTGGAGATCTTAGCCCCAGGACCCACATACCTCTACTCTTCAAACTTTTCTAAAACTTCTAACTTCTTCCTAGCTCATTAGTTAAGTAAATTAAATACAACAAAAAGACTCCTAACAAAATTATCATTTTAGTTGGTTTGTTTTTGTTTGGGGGTCACACCAGGTGGTGCTCAGGGATCAGATCTAGCTTTGGGGAGCTTTGGGGAACACAAAAAGTTCTGGGAAGTGAACCTGGGTTGGCCATGTGCAAGGCTAATAAGATGTTCTCTTCTTACCCATAGCACCTTACCCATTGTCCTATCACCCTTGCCCCGACAAAAGTGTAATTTAAAAATAATGGAGTTTGGTTAAGTAGGAAAGAGAGGGATTTTAGTATTTAGGGGGCCTTGTGCCTACAGAAAACCTTTAAGTCTCATGCATGAGAGAATACAATGGATGTGATAGTAATTATGATTTTCCTGCACATAGCCACCCCAAACTTCCTAGACTCAACTGCATGTCACACAAAAGACTGAGTCTACCCCAAGCAACAAAAACATTGCATGAGGTTCAATGCTGATCTTCTTCATCTCCAATATTTTTTTGCTCCATTCTATTTTTTCTCTCTCTCTCAAACTCTTTATTTTAGGCTGGGAAGATAGTTCAAAGAGCTGCAACACAAGTTTGCACATGGAGCCCTGGATTCAATCTCAGCACCAAATGCCCATATGAACACTGTCAGGAGTGCATTTTCATTGTTTAACTCAACAAGTTTTTGAGTACTTCCAAAGTCCCAGGCACTGTCTTACATACTAGGGATTCACAAGTGAACAAAATAGTTTACAAAATAGCCCCTGGGAAGTTTACATTCTTGTAGAGACAATTAAAATAATAACTAAAACAAGTAAGTTACTTAAGTATGTCAAAATATAGTAAACACTACATTTTTTTAAATAGAAGGTATTTTGTGGACTGTACTGAGAATTTGCAGTTGAAGTTAAATGAGTAGAGAGGAATAACTGAAAAGGGAATATCTGAGCAAAGACATAAAGATGAGAGATACTGGTCATGATGAAGATGTGGTGCAAGAGTGGTCAGAGAGAAACTAAAAGGTGACTGTGGTTAGGAGAGAAGAATAGCAGGAAAGGGAAGAGGCGTAGGCGATACCACCAGTGAGGTAAAGAGTGATGGGAGGTGGAGAAATCTCTGTAGATCAATGTAAGAATGTTCATTTTACTGTAAGAGAAAGAAAGCAAGTCACCAGGGTTGAACAGAGGTATATATACCAAGAAGTCTGTAGGGTGGAATTCGAAGACCAGTATACAAGGCTATTACAATACAAGCAGAGATTATGGCAGGTGCAAGCAAGGTGATAGCAGCAAGGGTAGTGAGGTGTATGTACATGTGTGTGTGCTAGAAACAACTGTTTGAGCTTATTAAAAATTCTACTTTGGAAAATGAAGAGCAATATTTGCAGATATAAAGAAAAGTATTTGCAGTTCTAAAAAGCTATTATATTTTCCAAACTGCAATCATTAAAAATAAATGATTACCAATTTATTATGTAAGTATACTGAAAATAAAGATATATTTAATACTGATGCAATATGATGAACTGAAGATATAAATGTGGGTTTCCAGATGAAGAGAGGTGTAATGCATAATACCAGGGTTTTTTGTTTGAGTAACTAGAAGGATGAATTGATGATTAAAATGGGGATATCCAGGTAACAAGTCTCCTGTAAGTCAAGCGAATAGAGCGTTTTCAGGAGAAAGAAAAATCGAAAGTGCCTAATGCTTTTGATAGTTTAATGACTACTACATTTAGGAACACAATGGATATTGATAGTCTTAATTAAAAAAAACATTTTGACAGAACAATGAGGGAAGAATCCTGGTTGGAATGACCTACAAGAATGGAGAAAAAAGGAATAAAGAAAGCCAGTGACTTAAATGTTTCCAGGAATATTTCTGTAAAGAAGTAAAAAAGAACAGTGAGATTGGAAAATGATAAAGAGGAGGAACCAAAAGAAGATTTTTTTAAAGATGGAAAATACTTAGATTATTATATGATAAAAGGGGTAAATATTGATAATACAAGGGAAAATTAATGGATCAATGTCTGAGTAGGGAAGAGAGTCAGATCTAGCATCTGAGTAGGTGAGAAATCCGTAGACAAGAAACATTCACTCAATATGAACAAGAGGGAAAGTATAACACAATGACAAATGTTAGAGAGTGTAGGTGTGATAAAATCTTTTTCTAATTGTTTTCTTTTTTTTTTTTTCAAAAGAATGAGCAAGGGGCTGGAGCAATAGCACAGCGGGTAGGGTGTTTGCCTTGCATGCGGCCAACCTAGAGTAGATTTCCAGCATCCCATATGGTCCCCCGAGCACCTCCAGGACTGATTCCTGAGTGCAGAGCCAGGAGTAACCCCTGAGCATCGCCGGGTGTGATCCAAAAAGCAAAAAAAAAAAAAAACCAAAAAACAACAACAACAAAAAAAAATAAAGAGCAGAAAATAAACTAGAAAAGCAGGAGAATAAATGAAGCATGATTCCTAGGCTGAATTAAGGGCCCCCTTGAATTTAAAATATAACCACTTAAGGGCAGGAGTGATATTACAGCGGGTAAGTGCTTGCCTTGTATAGAGTCAACCCTGGTTCATCCTCGGTACCATATATGAACTACAAGGAGTGTTCTCTGAGCACACAATCAGCAGTAAGCCCTGGGCATAGCTTAGATGTTGCCCAAAGCTAACCCTACCCTCCTGCCCCCCCATGCACCCAAATAACAGGACTGAACCAAGCAGTAACTTTTCCAAGGAAGGTAGACATAAAAATCCACACACTAAGGAAAAAATATAAATATTGAAACAGAGAAAAAGTGTTCAACATTATTAGTTATTGGCCATCAATGAAACCTACTACATACTTGTTGAAAAGTCTAGATTTGAAACGATGATATCAAATGCTGCCAAGTAACTCAAACACACACACTGCTAGTGAGAATGCAAAATGGTAGAACCAACATTTGAAAATAGTTTGCATTCTTAATAAAGTGCTTATGTATTTAAAATAAGACCCTGTGTTCCTACTTTTAGTTATTTATCCAAGAGTAATCAAAGCACATGCTGACACACACAGATACACACTCAAAATTTCACAGAAGTTTGATTCTTAATAATTAATAGAAAAAAAACAAAGTCGGTCAGCTGGCATATAAAAAAACAAATGGGATGCTAATCAAACTCAGGATCTCACATATGTCAGGTATGCGCTCTACTTTGTGAACTAGCCCCCTGTGCAATAATATATATGTGACTTTGT